CCATGCCAGGTGAGGCTGCGCAGCGTGCGCTTGCTCTCACCCCAGCCCGGCGCTCCTCTAGCGTGGCGCCTGGGAGCAATTGCCCCTCCCGCCCTCCCTTCACTATGCCTCTGGCTGTTCCACTGTAGTGCGGGGTGCTGCTACCCCATCATACTAATTAATAGGATTGTGCATGGTAATTTTTCTTAGGACTGGTATTTTTTTTCTAAGGACTGGTACTGGGCCACAGACCACACTTTGGGAAACGCTGCCACTGAGGAATACACTAAGAAACTACACCATCTGCTCAGGACATTCTCTACGTAAACACAGGAACAAATCTACATGAACCCACCCTTAGAGCCCTGACCGGGGTTATTCTATCTATTACCCAAGATCCACAAACCTGGAAATCCTGGACACCCCACCATCACAGGCATTGGCACTCTCACTGCAGGACTGTCTGGATATGTGGACTCTCTACTCAGACTGTATGCCACCAGCACTCCCAGCTATCTCTGAGACACCACTGACTTCCTGAGAAAACTGCAATGCATTGGTGATCTGCCAGAAAACACCATCCTAGCCACCATGGATGCAGAGGCTCTCTACACCAGCATCCTATACATAGATGAAATACAAGCTGTCAGGAACAGTATCCCTGAAGATACCGCAGTACAACTGGTGCCTGAGCTCTGTGACTTTATCCTCACACACAACTATTTCAGATTTGGTGACAATATATACCTTCAAACCAGTGGCATCGCTATGGGCACCCGTATGGTCCCACAACATGCCAATATTTTTATACTAGCGCCCCACATCTACTTATGCTACGTTGATCACATCTTCATCATCTGGACCCATGGGAAGGAGGCTATGGAAGAATTCTACCGCAATTTCAACATTTTCCATTCTAATATTAACTTCAACCTGGACCAGTCTACACACTCCCTGGACACTACAGTGCAAATAAGTGATGGTCACATAAATACCTATATGACCGCTATGCCTCCCTTCATGCCTCTAGCTTCCATACTGAACACACCACACGATCCATTGTCTACAGCCAAACACTAAGGTACAACTGCATTTGCTCCAACCCCTCAGACTGAGACAAACACCTACAAGATCACCAAGCATTCTTGAAACTACAATACCCACCTGAGGAAGTGAGGAAACAGATTAACTGAGCCAGGTGTGTGCCCAAAAGCCACCTACTACAAGACAAGCCCAACAAAGAAACCAACGGAATAACACTGGTCATCACCTACAGTCCTCAGCTAAAATCTCTCCAACCCACCATCAGTGATCTACAACCCATCCTGAACAATGATCCCACACTTTCACAGACGTTGGGAGGCAGGCCAGGCCTCACCCACAGACAACCCACCAACTGGAAGCAAATTCTCACCCGCAACTATACACTGCACCACAGTAATTCTAGCTAAGGAAACCATCCAAGCAACAAACCTCAATGTCAACTCTGCCCACATATCTACACCACTGACACCATCACAGGACCTAAACAGATCGGTCACATCATCCTGGGTTCATTCACCTGCCCATTTACCAATGTAATACACAGTAATTCCTCATTTAACACTTTAGATGCATTTCTGAAAATGTTCGTGCTAAGTGAAAACGTGCTATGCTATGCAGGATCAATTTTTCCATTAAAAATAATGGAAGAGGTGGGGGTTGTGTTTCAGGTGGTGGTGGCAAAGTCAATTTTTTGTTGGTGCTGGGTCATCAACATCAACATTAGATATGTAGCAGCACAAGACATCTAGCAACACAAGTAGCCATGGTTTGTTAAAACACAAAGATAAACACGTGAGTGAGTGGAGGAGCACTGTGACCATGTGTATTCATCCACTAATGCATGTACCACGGTTTTCACCAACTTATACTGCCCTGTGAAGTAGTCTGCCACTTGATTATTTTCATGTTATTTTGGGGATGATCATGTTATTCGAAAAACATTCCCTAAAAAAAATCATGCTATTGCGAAAATGTGGTAAGTGGGCACGTGTTAAATGAGTAATTATTGTACACCATCATGTGCCAGCAATGCCCCTCTGCTATATACATTGGCCAAATTGGACAGTCTCTTAGTAAAAGAATAAATGGACACAAATCAGATATTAGGAATGGCAATATACAAAAACCTGAAGGAGAACACTTCAATCTCCCTGGACACACAGTAGCAGATTTAAAGGTAGCCATCCTGCAATAAAAGATCGTCAAAACCAGACTTCAAAGAGAAATTGCTGAGCTACAGTTCATCTGCAAATTTGACACCATCATCTTGGGATTAAAGAAAGACTGTGAATGGCTAGCCAACTACAAAAGCAGTTTCTCCTCTCTTGGTGTTCACATCTCCACATCAGCTGCTAGAAATGGGCCTCATTCTTCTTGACTGAATTCCTTGTTATCTCTCGCCTTACTCTTGAATGGTACTCTTGTCTTATGCCTGTATATATATACCTGCCTCTGGAATTTCCACTACATGCATCTTGTGAAGTGGGTCTTTGCCCACAAAAGCTTATGTTCCAATAAATCTGTTAGTCTATAAGGTGCCGTAGGATTCCTTATTACTTTTGCAGATCCAGACTAACACGACTACCCCTCTGATACTTGTCTGTTGAGTGTGTCTCTTTCTCCCTCTTTCTCTTTCTCTCTGCTGGGACAGTTCATGGGAGGAAGAGTGTAATTTTAACTGACTGACTAATTCACTGGTTGCATATTCATCTTGGAAATTAATAGTAAAGATAAATATTTTGTCTGTAAGTCTGTGTGTGTGTGTGTGTATGAGTGTGTGTGTTTGTGTATGAGTTATAATTGAATAAACATAAATGCTTACTTTTTTCAGGATCTTCCTTTTTGTATTCTAAAATGAAATCAGAAATAATATATGAAATCACCAACAGAGGTGCCAGTATCAATTACTAATTAAATATAGCACTATGGCTATAGGTTAAAATTCTAACATATACATAGCGAATGGTGAGTATTCATTAAACAGGATCTCAGCATTCCTCAGTGGTAATCACCTGTCAAAGTGGAAAATCTACCCTATATTTTAAAGACAGTGTCACAAAGGGCTATGACTCTGGCTTCAAATGCCTAATCTCTAGGTCACTCGACTCCCAGTGCAACATACAACTTGGAGTGAGGAACTCACATTACCTGTATAATATGTGAGGAGAGTTAGACACCTAAAAATGACTACACAGAAGCCAGTATGCTGTGAAGGGACATGCCTTAAACTAGCCAATATGAACCACTGAGGATAAGGGAATGACTTGCGTCTACTGAGAATTCTTAACCCTGTGACCTTAGGTCCAAATACTTACTCTATCTGAGAGGATTGGGGCTTGATTTAAGCATGTTTACCCTACAAATTGACATTGATATTATTGTCAGGGTTAGAACATAACTTACTGTAGCCCTTTCCCAAAGCACAGGGAAATACCAACAAATATCTGCTGTAATTCCTCCTAGTCTTGGAGCGCCCTATTTGTGGAAAGATATTATTTTCATTAGCTTGGTATCTAAAGCTAGGAAAACTTGTAATACATGAGGGCTGAGTGAAAAATTGGAGTCTCTGTGTAGTAATTTGTCCTTATAAGCATGAAGAAAGTTTAGAAATGTAGAATGAAGATTTTCTTACCTCGACATAAAAAACACAATAAAACAATCACAGTAAGTAAGAGGATAACAACCAAGCCTATGATAATATTGTTTTCGAGGGCTAATTTAGCCTCAAGTGGAGTTTCTGTAGGACAAAAGAAAAGTTTATTAGTTTATTAGTTACTGAAAATGTCTAATGTGTATATTTGTCCTGATCCTGAAGTATCTAGGAAAAACTTATAAAACAACAAATGGTCTGGTAGCACGTTAAAGACTAACAAAACATGCAGATGGGATCATGAGCTTTCATGGTCACAGCCCTCTTCTTCAGATGACCAAATGGATGAAATATCTGTCCATTTTAAAAATACAGAAGGATTCTAGGTTGTTTAGGGTCATTTGTTGTAAACTGTATCTTTAGCCTTTTTGTACCAAAACATTGTAATTACAATTATTGGACAAATGAAATAGGCAAAATGGATACAGAGAACCAGGCCCAGCATGACTTTGGCCTGGTCCTCCCACCCCTGGTTGCTAGTGGTAGAGCTGGGCACCCCCAGAGGGGGTGCAAAAGCCCGGGGAAAAGGGGCCAGAGAACCCAAGAGATGATGTGGCCTTGAGGCCACGGCAGACTTGGGGCCAGGTGCAGGGGAGGCTGGAGACAGGGGGGAAAGAGCCAGGGTGGCCTCAAACCCTCCCTGTTGGTGGAGGGCAGGTGAAGAATATCAGCTGGGCCTCTCCCAGTGGCTGGGGGGAAGTCAGGTCTAGTGAGGCTTTGACCTGGCTCTTCCTGGCGTCCAATGGAAGAGTAAGGCCTAGAGTGCCTCAGACCACCCCCTTTTGGTTGCTGCGGGGAGCGGAGGCAAGAGCTGAGGTTATCCTGGGGCTGGGGCTGGGGCTGGGGCTGGGGCTGGGGCTGGGGCTCTACCTGGCACCCAGCAGCAGGGGGGAAAAGCCAGGTCCAGGCCAGCCTCAGAGACTCCCTGGCAGCAAAGAGTGTGGGGAAGGAAGATCCAGGGCCAGGTGGCCTAAGATTCAGGCCCTCCCAGGCCAAGAAGGGAGTTGGCAGCCATAGTGGGCAGGGGGCACAGCTCCTTAGTTATGATATTCATCAAATAATAATAAACATTGTGGTGTGACTGAAAAAAGCACACACAGATTGCAGACTTACCAGTCCTGTTCTCTGAGGTCTCTAAGGGAAAAAAATAAAGCATGTTTTACACGTAGTTTCCTGAAAACTGCACTGGTTTATGAGCACAGTGGGTGGGAAATAGATCAAAAAGGAGAGAATGTGCCCACATTTTAGCAATCAAAGAATTTGCATTGAGACAAAATGATTTTTTTCTCTTCCTTGTAAGAATCATTTATATCTGTTTCCTGTGGAAAAAGGGTGAATTTTTGGTGTTCTTTATCTAACCAGCTCCTTTCTTTTCTGTGATTGGGTAAACGATGGGATATGTAAGTTCAAAATGTTAAAGGAACCATGGTTTGATATAATTTATATTTCATACAGGCATTTCATATCACAACCTCCCATGGGAGAGCCCTCAAAGCAGGATTGTTGTTTTGTTGTGTGTGTGTGTGCATGTGTGTGTACCTGTAAGAAATTTAAGTGTGAAGTGTGGTGCAGGGTGCTGAAGGTTGAGATCACTGAGGAGTTAGGGGACTCAAAGCAAATGGCTGGGCTTGTAGGGGTGCAAAAGTCAGGGACTGAGAATGAGGAGTGGCTCAGGGCAAGCAACTCTTGGATTGGAGATGGGGGGGGTACTCAGGGCAGGATTGGAGATGGGGGGGGTACTCAGGGCAGGAGGCTGGTAGTGTGGGGGCTGCAGGAATCAGGATGGTAGTGGGGAGGGGCTTATGGCCTGGGGATTTATGTGTGTGCACATGCTTGTGTGTAGGGATGTGTACTGGGAGGATGGACGACATAACCCCTTCCCCCTCAAGTTGTATACAACAGGTGCTTGCTCTTCCCCTTTCTGTTTGTCTGTCTGTTCAAGAACTCTTCCTAAATGGCAACAGCTGGGATCACCACATTTCTGTGTATATCTCTAGAGTTTTGGGTGAGAGGTCTGACAAGTGAGCAACTGGCAGTAAGGGGGTCAATGTCAGCTCTTTTGGCATCATTTTATGAATGGACTGATCTGGAGGGCAGGGCCCAGTTTGACTATCTTGCTCAAGATTAGGTGTGAGTGAGGCACCTGGCTTCCAGGATTTAGGTGGCTTTGCATATGCCCAGCAGCAGAAATGTAGGCAAAATAGGGACTTTACGAATGAAAATGCAGCTGCTAAGGGACTTCAGACCATTACAGGTCAGGCAGCGCAGAGTAGAGACTGTGAGGATCTGAACTTTGGATGCAGGCATCTAATGTGCTGTGATGGGGTAGACTAAGCCATGATGCCCCCTACTAGAGGCTGGAGGCCTTGACACCCTCTGCCCCAGTGAGAGGAGCAGAAGAGAGGTCCTTCAAGCAGGATAGAGAGGCTGCTTCTGTGGAGGCCAATCTGGGCCCAGCTGGCCAGTATTAAAGAATCTGCTGAGCTAGGGCCTGGCAGTTCATCACTGGAGCTAGACCCAGCAAGACATAGGCTCTGACTGGGACGACAGCAGCACATTGGCCACCTCTGAGCATGAGCTGAGCTTTACACCTGATTAAGCTCAAATTCCAGGGACTGAAGACTAGCCACAACTGGCGCCCAAAGTCTGCAGAACCCAGGATAGGGTGTTTAGAACTGGGCCTTAAAGCCCTAAAATAAGAACGAGAGGGATGCCACAGCATCTTAGGGAAGTGGCCCAGGGAGCAAGGTAGCAGCAAGCACTAGAGACTCTGAGCAGGTAACTGCTGCTCACAGGATTCCTGGTCCAGGACCCAGAAAAGTGGGTATGCCTGGGTCCCTCCCAACCTCTATCAACTGCATCCAGGGGGTTAAAAGGAGCCTGGTCCCAGGCCACATAACAAACACCTCCTCTCCAGCAAACAGCCAACTAGAGAAAGCATGAGACACCCTTGGCAACGGGGGAGTGCTAATGTGGGGGTGGACCCCATCGCCCTTTTGTGAATCTCCAATAGTTATGACCTCCTCTTCCCCAGTTTAACAAACTGTAATATGAAAAGAAACATGTCTGCACCAGGTAATGAAAGCTCTACAGGGACATGGTGGTTGGGAATTTTGCTTTCCCTAAGTGCATCTGTCCTAAGGAAAACATTTAAGGATACCCACACGTTATGGTGCCAATACCCAGGGCCGGATTAAGGGGGGCTAGCTGGGCAGCTGCCCAGAGCACCAATCTATGGGGGGCACCTGATGGCAGCTGTAAGGGGTGCTGCACGCCCAGGGCCGGGGGCTGTGCGGCACCCCTTAGAGCTGCCATCAGGCACTGCACGCCCAATTGCAGATGTAAGGTGTACAGTGCACTGGGGTGCAGGGCCACACATGCACCATATGCTTGGGGACAGAGCCAAGCATGTGTCACATGCCCACAACCTGGGGTGCAGGAATGGCTCAAGCCGGCCCTGCCAATACCACATGCTTCCAGGCAGAGTTTGATCCTATGTGGAAGAAATGCCAAGATCAAGGCCCATG